GCCGCGTGTCTGAGGAAAGTGAAATAAGTCCTCCGTATCAGTTCAGCTGACAGACAGGGCCCAGCACTACACACAGGAGTGAGTCTTTATCAATGTCAGGACTCGTTTAGTCATTAGCTTTTCAGTCAGCTTTTAAATGTGACATCATCACTTCTGAAGAGCAGTTAATGTCATCAGTCCAGCTTGTCTGCTTGCCAGCAGGATTACTCAGTAATCAGAACAGATCTGCGGGAGAATTTGATCAGAGCTCAGTGCGGTTTAAAGTGATCAATCTTTGAAGTGCAGCTCAGAGTCCAGTAGTTTTTGGAAGGATCCATTACAACACTGCCCTGTGAGACATCAGCAAACTGAAAATTTTCCAAGAGCTTTGCAAAAACAAATCACACTGAAATAAGAAACACTGTCTGCTTTTGTCTTGAAGTTCTCAGGAAGATATCACAATCTAATCCAGATCCAGAGATCCTTCTGGATCCAGGGGTCAGTGTGGTACTAGATTTCATTTACTCGTGCATAATGCCCATTTATGTTCATTGGATGGTCAGAAAATAACAGAAAAATACACAGATTTCTGTCAGGTAATGTAACACGGACTCATTACAGGTGCTGTGTAGTTAGCAGTCATGTTTACGTCACCTTATAAATTAATCAGGATAAACTGTTTACTAAAACCAGAGAGACAAAGTGATTCTCAATGAGTCAGATTTAGTGAAGATGTAGAAAAGTCAGAGTTTCATCTCTTGTGTTTCTGTTCCTGTTACCTGAAACAAACCTGGTTATTTCACTTCAGTTTATTATATTTATACACTTAGATAAATGAATGTGCTGTGTGATGAAGTTTCTTTTTCTTAAAGATTACATCTGAGCAGACTTAAGGTTTATAAATATGACGTGTGTCAGCTGCTGTTTTTTCTCTGTATGTAATCATCTGTAAACACTGGGTTTTGTGGGCCTCTACATGAATAACAAATACGCGTTTCCTTCTGTTGCAGTAACGCTGAAACATCTTGGGACATGTTTGACCTCAAATATGGCAGATATATTCATTAACAACAAAACCTGGGATGAATGATCATCAGGCTTTCCTAAAGGAAGGTGGTTGTGCCTTTTCTTTTCAAGGCTGAGCACCTCCTGAGATGAAAGCTGACCCATGTGACCACAGAGATGGAGCGAGGTAACGAGTTCATGAGACCATCAAACCAGTTTAATGTGACTCGCTCCGGTCTGCTAACCATAACCTCTGTGCACAGATCACACAGAGACAAACAAAACACACCTGCTCAGAAACAATATTCATCCTCTTTAATGACTGCTCAGCAGTCTTCCCTGTCCTGCCACACAGCCATAGCACTAAACATAAGTAGCTGCTTTTCACTGTGTAAACTGTCCCGTCTGTGTTCTGCAGGGTCACTTTTCCTGCAGCGAAGTGACTGAAATCTGCTCATTTCAGTCCACAGGAACAAAGAAGGCACTCGGGTTTCCTTCTCACTGAAAGACAGCACGCACAGCTTTACACCATGGAGAGGGCTTGCCAGCAGAAACACTGAGACTCACTGATGAGTACAACGTGTACTTTCTCTCACTTTTAGATTTACAGCCTCCATCTGAATCCCACAGGACCAACAGAGACAAAGAGAGGAATAAATCCAATTAGCAAATTAAATCTTTTTAATGGGCCACAGAATTGATATGTGGGTTTTTAATTTTTGTATGAACTTATTTTTATGAGCAAAATATTATCAGAAAGTGAAAATTACAAAATTCAAACATGCTTCCATGCCAGGACATCCCCGGATATAATTGCACGTTTGCTGTAAAACATGTGTAAGGAACTTTGTGTGCTACCTTAAAAAGCGAACACCTTCTTCAGTGGGAAAGTCTTTCCCCTCAGTTCCTCCTTATGAAGCAGAAACTTCTTATAACTGAGCAGAAACTATTGAAAAGAGCATTAATGGTGTCACACATTACTGGGCCTGTGTGTGTTTCAGACATCTGAGCCACATCTCTGATTTCTTAAAGCTCCTCAGGCCTTTATGACGCAGTCAGCATTATAGAAATGAGACAGGTGGTCTCATCTGCAGTACAAAGAAATCACAGTTATCTTAGTTATTAACTGTAATCTTGATTATTTAGCATCATTACTTATTAACTTACCAAACACCAAGTGTTTGTTATGTGAAAGTGAAAAGAGAAACCACTAAATAAACAAACAGAAGAAATGGGTATGCACACAGGACCATCTGTTATTGAGTCAGGCGTCTAGGCTAGCGAGTGTTTCAGAAAAAGCCCACTTTGAAAGGGCGACCACTGTTCGCTATTGGCCGTCAGAGTCCAGATGGACAGATGAGTGGAGAGCCGACCAGCCAATCAAAACTTTGGTCAGGCATCACCAAAAAGGACCCGGAGAGAGATCGGAGACGAAGGCAGCTCTACCAGTTAATAATCCTTCACAGGTTAACTTACATAAACATCTTACTTCCTCTAAGCAGATCTTGTTCACCAAAATCTTTCCATCTATTCATCACCAAACCAGTCCAAACACGTCTTCATGACTTGTTCCTTTCAAGAAATTCATAAATGTTGGTCTTTTTTTTCTTTTTTCTGATCAAAGGACACTCAAAGTGTATCAGTATCATTTTACTTGAAGACAGAGAACTGCAGCTGTTTTCTACTGATATGTCTAACAAGGTTTCCTGTTTTCTGCACTGAAACACAAGACAAACTCAGAGCTTTGTAGGGAAAAAGAACAGACAAAAGAGAAACTGTTTTATTTCCAGTTTTATCTCCATTATCATGCTTTCATAATCACTGAAAGCCAAGATTATAATTAAGATTAACCTCTGATTAATGGTCCAACCCTAGATTCGGATGTTCTTTATCTCTGGATGTGAAAACATAAACTGTGTGGATAATATCCTGCTCGCTCACAGCAGAAACCATCAGGCTTCAGTTTTCCTCAGCTTTGCAACTTTGTAACTTGATATGAACTCTTTGTTAACTCTGTATTATACTTTTTAAAAAACATCGCCCAGGAAGCTAAATCTGTGAAAACATCTCGATAACGTCTCAATCATCCAGGTAAGGAAGTCCCCAAAACACGAGAGGAATGAGAAGCACCAGCTGAGTATAGTGTGAGAGGACAAAGTGACAGCCCTGTTTGTAGTTTTCTCCCTGACTGATTGATTTTGTGCATAAACACAGATGAAACCACAACACAGAGATTATCTTTGACTTATAAAAACTATAAAAAAAACCAGCAGCGCTGGAAAACACTGGAAATATTTCCTGCTACCCAAAAGCAGCATTCAGGACTTTCCATGGACACACTCAGTACATATAAACCATAAACTGGGTGCAAGTCAGCTGGTGATCAACAGGAGTAACTCGGATGCTTCTGGATTTATTTATGAGGCTATCATGGAGTTCAGTAAGTGTGCACATACAGGGCTCTAGAGTGCGACTTAATTTGATCACATATGCAACTTCATTTCGCAATGGTGCGACAAAAAAGAATCCTCTCCAAGTCTGAAAGTCTCTGCGTGGTCAACAACAGACACACATTCTGCCCATATCGTGGTCTAAACCAATAAGAGATAGTCAGGGGCGGGACCTCTCTGATTGGCCTGATTGGTCCCACACACGTGTATGTTTGAAAGTGCAGGCAGATAGAGAGAGGTGAGTAGCTTTAATAAAGCGATATCGATTCATTAAATCCTGAATCTACTTTTAAATATAAACGTATTTTGCCAGAAACGCCAAAATCTTAAAATTCACAAAACTATTTGAAAAACAACCAAACAGCTAAAACAGCAAATGAGAGCAGAATCAGTGAGATGTCGGCTTTTTTTTTTTTTTTTTCAAAAAAAGACCTCTGACAAGAAAGTCTCATGTCTGCTGTTTAATAGCACAGACATGTAAACTTTTTTAAATAAAGCCAAATTGCAAACCGCTTAGCTGTGTCTCTAATAGAACCTCTGTAACTTTGCTCTGCTTCACTTCAGCAGCATCTTTATATGTTCACTCATGGTTTTCTTCAGTTTTTGTTCTACTGCAGAATATTTTTAAGCTTATCTGCTATAAAAAGCCAGGCCAGGAAAATATTCTTCATGTTTTTCTGTGTTTTATTCTCAGTTACTTTGACACAAAGGCATGTGGTGTGATGCTTACACCTCTGATAAAGTCTCACAAGTGTCAGTACTGATAAATGATCAGAATTATAGTATTTCTGACTGTCTGAGTCAAAATTGAATGGAATTGAATCGGGACTTTATTAATCGGAATCGAATGCATTATAGTGAAACCAGTGATGATAGGCAGCCCTAGTGAGAAGCCTAGGCCTGACATAAGTGGATGTAGCTGTGGGTAATGAGAAAAGATGAAAAGACCTATTGATAATTTTTTTGTTAAGTTAAGGCCTGACCCATCAACCTCTGAAGGCTGAAAAAGCACAGTGTATCCAGAAAACACATTATATGAAGCGATAAATGCACTGCCTATGTGTCCCCTCTCCCCACTGCCTTTCAGCAGCAGGCAGCAGCAAACAGGTCGTCAGAGGAGGCCGAGATGATGATTAAGTTTAACATTGTCTACAATATTGTACTTTAAGCACAAGCACTTTTTGAGTAACTTCTCTTTCTTGTAGAAATGTTCTCTAAATAAAGACAAGATCAATATTGTCTGTATGGACAGCAATTTAAAAAATAAAATAAAAAGTGAACATGTAAAGCAGTGGGGTTCAAATGCAGTTGAAAAATTTGGGTGCACCTAACTTTTGTGCTGGTGCTCCTAAAAAAAAAAGTAAGTCTAGAGCCCTGACATGGACAGACAAATTTGGTGCAGTTTGGGAGGGTCACATGTCGCGTGTCTTGAGGCTGCTTTCAACAATCGACAATAGTAAATATTAAATAAACAAATTAACGCTGCCATGACAACAGAAGCATCATCATAAAACTGCCCCTGGCACCATAAACCAAACTGAGCTCATCAAACGCTGCAGGACTTACCCGACAAAGGTGACAGGACCATGTTCCCCGACCTCTGGACTTCATCGAACTTACTGAAGATGACGTTCAGCCTGCACACAGAGACGGAGCAGACAGTCAGAAGCAGCTGGTGTTATGATGTCAGGAAAGCACCAAGTTAAAAAAAAAAAGAGGCCTTGCTGGCTTCAAGCGTGCAGAGTGTCCTCTGAAAAACAGAAAACTGGCTCATTTCAGGCTCCTGGGAGAGCGTTTAAATAGGCCAAAGTAACAGCACAGAGTCTACAGCCTCCAAAAATACACAGACGACGGCAGATATTATTAGAACAAACACCAAGAACCACAATGTCACTGTCACATCTGCTGACCTGATGGAGGAGGAAGCACCCATCACTCAAAGGACGAGCTTTATTGATAACAGTCAGTTACTGTTTGTGTGATTAAAATGAAAACTATTTCCTGATTATTCAATTAATAACTTAATTATCTGCCATTTAATCAGACACTGATCATCAGATTAAAGCTGAAGTTAAAAGTCAGTTAATTAATAAGACCATCACTGCCAATCTAAGCAGTGAAAAACCCAAACATCTAACCACAGGAGCCTGAGATGAAGCATTCCCTCCTCTGAGTTTTCACTAATTCACTTTGCTTGTTGAGGTTTTTCATTAACAGCTGTAACTTCCAGCAGACAGCCACTCTTCCTCTATAGCTCTATCTCATTACTGACATAAAACACATGTAAGTGAAACTCTGGCGTAACAGGACACTCTGCTGATTAATGAGGCTTCATAGATTTTCTAATATTTCTAGATTAAATAACCAACCAATCAATCAATAAAAAACTAATCAGAAACAGTGTTTTTAAAGGGCTGTGAATGCCTTTCCTTCTAATGTGAAGAACAGTTATTCAAAAGGCTGTCACTTTTCTACATGTAACTGAGTAATGTGAGTGTGCAGTGCACCACCAGCAGTCCCACAGAGCCCTTCACATGATGAGATTTACAGGGAGCTTTGAACGCACCGTGACTGAGGCAGGCCCTTCTTTCCCAGGTCGATCCGCACTCGCTCTCCGACGTGCCGGTAGATCTCCACCAGGCAGTTCATGGCGCCATCACGCACCTGTGGGCCGACAGGTAAACACATTACTTGAACACAAAGAGCTTGCTTGGTTTAAATCATCCTGAATATGTGGTCGACACTTTAAAAACAATTAAAATCATCTCCCATGATGCTCTTTGGCTGCTGTCACAGCAGAAAAACACATGACTGTGATGACATGTTTAACGCTCCAGGTGTCTTTCTTTCTTTACTTTGTGTCCTGGTGCAAATCCATCTGTGTGTGTATCAGCATTTACAGTGACGTGTCCACATTGATGTTCTCACTCTTATTTTGAAAGAAGCTCTACGTTACACCGGTTTAAATCGTTCTCTTTGTTTTCGTCTAGATGCAGATTAAAAGCAACAATAAATACACACCGACTTTAAACTAAACATCTGAACTGTGTTCAAAGCTGTGACTTTTTTCTCTCTGCAACTGGTTAGTGATGAAATCAAACAAAGACTATAGACTTTAAAATCTGATAAGGGTAGCTGAAGGCCTCACTGAGCATGCGTGAGTGTGTTTGGCTTTGGAAAGGGAAGTTCATGGGCACGGCTTCCTGTCCTGAGGAGGAAGTGCGATTCCGGCGATGACGAACCAATCAGTAAACAGCAAACAGAGAGGGGAGCAGACAGATGATAGCTGAGGATCCTGATGCAGAGCTGGAGGATCACAGACTTCATCCCTGTACAGCGGTGTGGGTCTGACATCAGCTAAAGCAGGTCTGGTGTAGTGTAATGTTTGAACTCCACCAGCAGAGGGCAGTCAAACACCAAGATTACTGCAAATTAAAGAAACTGTTCTCCAGCTGGATGTGGAGGAAGTTGGCTGACCTGCACAGTACAGCTGTTTAAAGCCATCACACGACTGCCGCTCAGCTGCTGTCCTGAGTGTTAAGTCCTTTCACTTGTTTCTGAAGCACTCCAGTATGTAAGTCTCAGATACTGACTGCATATGAACCACTACAGCCCCTCAGGCCTGCTAATCTCTGCTAGATGAGCCAGAGTTTAGCAGTAAAATGATGACTGGTGAGGGGGTTTTAAGTTTTCACACAGCGGCTGGAAGCAGCAGAAATCTTTCAACCTAAAACATCCTCAGCCTTACTTTATTAAGTAGCAGCTTGTCTTTTTAAGACAGCATTATTCTTTTCACTGATTCACTGCTGAATTATTGCACATTTTAATATATTTTCTGTCTTTTTAAAGTAATTCATCTAGCGTTATCTGGTTTGATGTGAGAACATGTCTGAAGCGGACATTTTCCAACTTCCTGTGGAAAACA